AGTACGTTGTCGCCTTTGTAGTCGAAATCTTAATCGCTAAACTTCTCCGTACGTCGCGCGCTTTTTGTCGTAGTCGGCCCAATCTTCCAAATGTTAGACCGCGCATGAAAACGCGTTGTCCGTAGTCTGTTGCCGTGGTATCTTAAAGTCCTTACTATCAACTAACGCGAGGGTAAGATCTAAAACATTTAGTGATACTTCCGAGTAAACCAGCGTAAATTTAATTGTGGGGTATAACGAATTGATGAAATCAGTAAATTCGAGAAGTTTGGCAGTACCCTGTGTCCAGAGATCGAAAATATCGTCCCGATAACGCCACCATAAATTAGGTTTTATTTTCACCGCGTAGCTACACGCATTTTTCGGACCCATGGCTGTTCCGTGAATCTGCAGATAATGCTTTTTCCCAAAGCTAGAGTTGTTATGTGCAAGACAAATTTTAACAGCTTCGACGATGCATTCAGTTGATGGAAATTGATTTGGGCGAGAGTTCAATGCTTGTGTTACAGCTAGAAGACCCAAGTCATTGTCGATATTCGGGAACATTGCGACCACATCCCAGGAAACTAATAGTGTTCCATCTAGAAATGGACCCGTGTCGTTCAATTCGGATATTTTTTGAAGTAAGTGCGTGGTATCTTTAATAAAGGATGGGAGGGCCTGGAAAGAGGTTTAAGATAGAAGTCTATAAAGGCTGAGAGGTTCTCTATAGCTGTGCCACGGCATGACGTGATCAGTCGTAGAGGATTTCCTTCTTTATACGTTTCAACAGTCCCAAACGCTTTACCAGGTTTTACTTTTTCATTAGCGATCGAGCCTGCTAAATCTTGCGTAATTTCTCCTTTGGCAAGCCATTTATTACACCAACTTGCTACAACATCAAAGTGATTGGAGCTCGAATCTGAATCCAACTTGTGGTAGTGCAGAGGGTTATTCAATTGTTTATCCATTTTACTATCATATTCTTCCGTTTCCAAGATGACGAACTTTGATCCCTTGTCTTGGATTTTAATAGATTGACTGTCCAATTGCTGAAGGTCCCGTAATGCGCGACGCTCGCCTTTGTTTAAATTGTCTAATGCTTTTTTAGTATTTGCCGGATCAAATATGTCTGTTTTCACCAATTGTAAAAAGTTCTCCAAGGGCAGTGATTTAGATACTGGGGCTCTCCATGTGGACTTACTCTTAAACTTCGGTAATAGTTGCGGGCTCTCATTGATGGGCGTACCTTTTTCTGGTCTAATTTGTTTAAATAGAACAGCACTTCGTAGGCGGCTTTCGAAATTCTCCCAGTCTTCGGCGAGTTTAAGTCTGTTAACGTCCTTCGGTGTGGGGCAAAATGATGGTCCTTTACTCAGGAGGCTCTTCTCATCATCGGTAAGAATTTTGTTGGATATGTTGATGGGATGAAATTGTTCACTTTCTTCTTCAACTCCAGGGTTAATGGCTGTTCTGATGTTCCTTGCCTTCTTGGAAAATCTTCTGTTTGGCCTCTTTTGTTTCACCGTTGTTTCCGAAATTGTTTCATTACGCGGCGGGGTTACAGGAATGATGCCTTTAATTTTATTTCTATATCGCAAGCGAAGTTCTCTTGTGAGGCCGTGTGTAGATTTCTTTGCAAGATTCCATTTAGACGTCGCAGTGTTGCAGTCGAACTGCTGGTATAGATTTACACGTATGTCATCGAGTGTTCTTTGCAGTGTCGTTGCCTTGTCCTTAGTGTAAACCACAAGCTCTTTCAGGATATTATACGATGCTGTCCGAGCGTGAACTTGGCTTCTCTCTAGAACCCTATTGTCACCAAGTGTAAGATGCAAATTCAAGTTTTCCTCATCGCCCATTTGGCAGAATTTTTGTCCTTTCATGCAAATGATTCAATTCATCGTATAAAACGATCTTAGTTGCATTGACATTGACTACGGCTGCGACGTATACTGAGATCTGTCCTTTATCTTTACTTTAATCTATACAGCAATAATAATAACTTTACAGTAGTTTGCAGCTAATCGCCATTCTGTGAATAACTTTCAACTTCAATTGGTATTTTTCGGCGAATTTGATTTGTTTCATAATAGTACTTAGTAGTATAAATTATAGCAATAAAAAATACATAACATCGTGGTTTGCATGCAGCGTTTTTGGTAACTTGATTTGGGTTAACGATACTGTTCCAGGCTCCATACACTCGCGGACCAAGAACAATGACATCTCTCGACATGTCCAAGTTAGTCTGGGAGTATCTGTCCGCACCTGCACAATTTAGTTATTTATTTGGAAACATGTGCATTGCCCAATCATGGATGATATTTTATCTATGAGAGTCTGTTTTTATCCTTTGATTTGATTTGAACTGAAGTTCAAGATGCGCACAAATTTCTTTCAGCATCGTTATTTTCATGGGCGTACCGGAAGGAAAAAATTAGGGGGGCGGAACGAAAATTGCCCGACTTTTCGGGATTTTGCCCGACTAGTTCCCAAAAAATTTTTCCGGAAATGTGTCACATAAATCATACGCGTCGTGGTATATAGGATGGCATACGTCGATCTCAGCAAGCATTTTCCACAAGTTGTCCACAAGCATTTTTCTTTGTGCTTTCGCCTCAAAAAGAAGAACACGTAAAATTACGCATTCTCCTTCATGAAGAACACGTAAACTTACGATAGTTATCTCCAGTTTCCCTTGCGTCATTAAAGTACTAATTACAACACTTGAAGAAGTAAAAGTAGCGTAATACTTACGAGATCCTATATTTGAATTAATTTCCCATAAAGAGTAAAAACTGTTTTTGATAATGACACATTGAAAACATCTCTTCCTGTATACTTACGAACAGGACCCGGATGGTGGGAATACTGGCACGATCTTAGCGGCCTCCAAAATCGTCCCAAATTATGATGGTGGGACGGACAAATAAACATCATCTTAAACTGGTCTTCGGTAAGATTGAACATTCCCGCGCGAATAGCATGCAATTAGCTCGTTCTCTCTCAAGTTCGATTTAGAAAGATGACAGTTTGATAGTTGAACACTCATATCTTCCTTACAATCAAATAAGCAACTAATTTCCTGTAATCCATGACTTTCACCACAAGAAATTCCACCAACGCCAACAAATGGACAACTTTTCTCCATAATCAAAACTAAACAAGTAAGCTTCTAGAAATATCTAAAAACGGCACTTCTTTGCGTTAATTTTCTGTTAAACAAAACACGTGTGGAAATTACAAAGGAACACTGTCATTGAAGGAACACTATTATTTTCTGCTATTATTTTCGTGGTTTTTTATTATTTTATAAATTAGAGAAACTTAAAAATTGGCTACAAACGTAATCCCCTTGGCATACAGACTACAGTAACACATTTTACCAACCTCGAAATGTTTTCGACTACTCCCGAACGTTTGATTAAAGATTAAATTTGCGAGATTAAATTGTTTGTTGAAGAATTAACACGCGAAAAATAACTATCCAGGTAGCAAGTTAACTTGCAGTATATTGTTGCTTTCGTAATATACTCATCAGTACATATTTATAAACAACGATAATATATTGTACATTATGTTGGCGTGCAACTATATGGTGGCCCATCATTATCACCGCTATTTTCAGGAATATTTTGCACATTTTATGTTATTTTAATTATTGTTTTCTTTATAAAATTGAAAATAACTTGAATATGTATGACAAATTGGAATTGATTATTATTTCGATTTGAGAAAAAAATTATTTACAAATGTATAATAATATTAATTATAAGTTGTAATTCAAATTATTTATTATTTTAAATTTTAAAAAAATATTAAAAATGCAACAGTTCAAAGAAATAAATTAAAATTTAATTGATAACGCTGGGCCGTCAGCCCGTTCGATTTTTCGATTTTTTTTTTCGAACGGCTCAGCGTTATCAATTCACTCTGTAAAGACTGGGTTCTAATTTAATTTCCCGCCATTCCACTTCCAAACAGTTACGCCATTTTGATTATTGTCTACTTATTTGAAAGATTGCATTTAATAGCACACAGGACAAAGGTATATATCACACATACTTTTGTAATGAAACGAAGAAAAGGTAAAGAAAGTTGGGAAGAGTTTGAAAGAAGAGTTGGATTAAAGCGAAGTGGCGAAGAAGATCGAAATCGTGCGCCAGAAAAAAGAGCGCTTGGTAAAATCCCAAACGATATATTGGTACAGAGGATGTCGACTACTCCCAGTGGAAGATTGAAAAAATACGAGCCATTGGATACTAGAGATTTTGTTCCATTTTCAGATTATGAAGAGCTGTCAATAGAGAATATTAAAGATGCTTGTGAACAATTCTATAGCGCACCGGCAGGATCGTGTGATATTCTTGCCTCGGACAGAGGACCTTCGTGTACAAAAATGGAACAAATCAAGGGGAAAAAGGTGTACTTTATCCGTTTTTTACCACCTGCCGAGCATGATAGATCACAACAGTCTAGAGTTCAGGGGTCAAATTCCGCGCCAATTTCACCATCAAAGATTGGAGAAATCGACGGCCACCATCCTGAAACGCCAAGTCCCAAATTGGCCAGAACAGTTTATCCAAAATCAGTATCCATTGGGGATTTACTTCGGGCAGGGAAGTTGGTACGACCTCCACAGTTAACAACTCTCAGTTTGGAAATGTTTGATGTAGAAAAATGCGAGTGGATAAAAACTCCCTTGACTTTGTCTGTTGAAATAGAGGAAACCAAGTTTGACAGTGGTGCCTTCAGAGATGCATTCTGAGCCAAATGCACAGATAAATCATCTAGCCTGGTAGGTGAGTGGGTAATAAAGAAATACAGAGATGAAGCAATTACCACCATACAGGAACAACTACAAATAACTGTGGAAGACCACACAAGAAAGCAGGTGCAAATGCATGCTGTTGCACGGAATTTGACGGCACGTTTTTCTGCTAAAGTACCAGAGGAGTTTGGAGAAACTTTCCAGTATGGCAAAGTGTTTTATTCCCATTGGAATGAATGTCCGGTTACTGTTGAAGAATATGTACCAGGTGTCTTCTCTAAGTACATTAACAATGATGGAGACATAATTGAACCTGATGATATAGAATCTGATGAGATCTTCCAGAAAGCCCAGTGCCTAGTTCATTTCACCTACATGTATTCTGTGAAGAGATTGATGGTCTTAGATATCCAAGGTTCAGGGTATAAACTGTATGACCCTGAAATTGTGACTACTGACCTTATGGCGACAAACAACACATCACACGAGGTATATTTTTGTGCTGGCAACCTTTCAACTATAAGCATAGAAAGTTTTGTAGACAAACATGTATGTAATAAATTTTGCAAGATGATGAAACTTCAAACATTGAAATGACTTTGAACTTTTCAAGACTCAAGTTACGAAAGTGTTTTGTGCAACACATTTGTGTTTTCATTGGACTTTTTTGTTGTTTAAATATGAAAATAAAACTTGATTTCAGTTTTTTTATATTATTTGGTTGCCATGAAATGAAAACTTCACTAAATGT